TTTGACACATTATTTAAAAAGAAAAGTAATAGAGGTAATGAATAATGTAGAAAAAAATAGAAGGGATTGTGTAACAATAATATGAAAGAGAAGGTAAAAAGTAAGGATAATTCAGTATTTTAATGGGAAAATAATTTAAATATCCCAAACTTTGAAGGGTGTGACATAATTACCGCAAACTCACATATGTAATATATATACCCATAACTTTATATAAAAAGTTATGTTAGCATCTTGACCATATATTTTTTCATAAATGTACTTTTATATTGTTGTTGTTGTTGTACTTTTATGGTGTTAAATACATAATTCTAAATACAAAAAACATTTATGAGGATCCAATTAAAATAAAATTGTACCGGATGTTAGAATATTTATTTCAAAAATGAAATTTTAGAATGGTATTGCATTCTAACAAGGCTTAAGGTATTTGAAATTATATAATTATTTCAATAAATAATAATGTAAAAAACATATAATCATGGTGCGATAATAACCTTTTATATAAAGTTTGGGTATGCATATTACTTACATATGCAAGTTTGAGGTATTTAAATTATGTTCCTCGTATTTTAAAAGGAAAAACTTACTAAAAGAGGAAAATGTAGCAAACTTTAAAATGCGGAGGAAATATGAGTTTGGTGCATTTTGCATATAGTTATAATTACTGAATTTTTCTTTTGACTTAATCACGATCGATATATGGTGCACTTAAATTGTGTTTTGTTTGTGTATTTTATTACACTCTTTAATTGTCCCATACATGCTTGCTAAATTGACTTTTCTTCTTTAATGATGACAAAGTTTGAGTAATGATAATTTTTTAATAGTTAATTATATTGAATATAAAAATTAGGGAAAAGGTGCAAATAAGCCCATGTACTAACCAAAAAAGGTCAAATAAACCCTTATTTAGGAGGCTCTGTCCGTCCGTCGTCATTTCGGGTGGTTCCCGGTGGTATTTTTTGATGAAATTTTTTAAGCATCTTATTTATCAAGTCTAGTTTACTCATACCAAATTTCAGCTAAAACTTCATCAAAAAATTCTACCGGGAACCACCCCAAATGGCGACGGCCGGACAGAGCCTCCTAAATAAGGGCTTATTTGACCTTTTTGGTTAGTACATGGGCTTATTTGCACCTTTTCCCTAAAAATTACTACGTATAATACTACATCTGTCCCACTATGTTTGAGACAAGAGGGTGTGACACAACTTTAAAAAAAATGGAATTGTGTATTTGATATTGAATTGATAAAGTGTGAATAAAGTAAGAATGAATTGTAACAATCCAAATATTACCAAATATGGTACGAGACAAACTTAATCAGATAGACCGAAAAAGCAAAATGGGACAAAGTTAGAAATATAAAAGAAGTAAAATGTTTTTTTATTAAAAATACAGAGTATATTTTTATACAAGTACGATAGTATAATTTTTGTCAACAAAGAAATCGATGGATGTGGCATTGTTAAATACAGGGCCTAAATCTAAAGACGGCCAGCGGACGTTACGTGGTGGAGGTCATCCCAAGTGTTTGGACCGCAGCATCGGAATCTATCTTTGTGTGGCTGCTACTGCTGCGAGAAGCTAGCTAGCTAGGGTTTAATCGTCCACAACAGAATGATTGATAGATCGTCATAATCATTTGCTCTCTCAGCTACCTCTCGTCCTTATCTTGGGCGATCCGATCCCTGGATTTCTGCTTCATCTTCGTTACTTGTCGTCGAGGGAGCCTCCCGGCCGAGACCTCGCACAAGCGTTTTCTTCTTTTGTTTTAATTTCAAATTTTTGCCAAATATACTTTCATCTACTTTCAAAAATTAAATTAGGCCAAATATACTACTCCCTTCGTCCCAATATTATCATCCCGTTATGGTCTACGATGCTTGACCGACGATAAAGAAAACGGATCTCTGTCCACACTCATTTTTTTTAAAAAAGAAAAAAATAACATATTCAGAAACTACATTAAAATCTTTCTAGTCGCAAAAACCAGAATCAAATTTGATAATAAATTGATATATAAAGTAAAAGATTAAGAATAATGTGTGTTGATCAAGTGAATAAGAACTAAGACAATAGTAGTGGGATACTGGGATGGAAGTAGTATTTCTCAAAAAATCACATTTTTACCCACAAAACTATCTTTAAATATTCATATACTGTCATTAAAACCTATTAGGCTCCATATTACTCTTAGGAAATTTATTTTATTTAACTTAGGCTTTTTCATTAATATTACCAAATTAATTTTAAAAAACAAAAGTACGACTTATTGTGTAATTTTCCAAAAAATTGACATATTCAGTGACTAGTTCTATCTATCAGTCACTTGTCACTATGAAATACACTATTGATTCAGTGACTAGTTCTTAACGACTCATTGTCATCCGGGAAAACTCTATCATGTTTTCCTTAACATACCTCGAAAGTAATGCTTCTGAAATTTAATATTTTCTCAAATAGGCTAGATACAGAGTATTTGATTATTTCTAAATAAATAACAACATATGATAATGATATTTGAATCGATCGAATATTTAATAAGGCATTTAGACATTTAGTCCTTCACCTTTGGTGTTGACGTGATTTATCTTTTTCGAATGAACTGTTAGATTTTCTTTAAGGATATGTTTGAGAGTTTAGGAAGAAGCTGAGCGGAAGGCTTGGATGGGAGTAATAAATTTGAAAGAAGAAAGTCTTTGAGTAAACTTTAATTAAAATCACTTTGAAATATGACAAATTCAAACGAATGAATTGTTGTTCATTTTAAATTGAACTGAAATTACCGTTTCGTCAGTTATCCTTCAAATACCTTCAAATTAGAGAAATTTAAAAATTGAGCATTTAGAGAGTTTTGAGGATTACAAAAGCTCCCTAAATCAGCCCCTCCAATTTTTTTAAACCTCCAAACATGAAAAGGACGTCATAAATCCCCATCAACCCCTCACCCCTCCAAAATCCAACTCTCAAACATACCCTAAAGAGAAAACTAAATAATCTCTCTTATTTTCAGAAAATTATACGAAGTATGTAATTCTCATTATTGAAAGAGATGTGTATAGAATTGTGAAGGAGAAGATAATTTGGATTATTAGGCTTGGTGTATCTTAACTCTTAAGTAGTACTTCGTATATATCTAAGTCTCTTAGTGATTTGTATAACTGGTCAAATTTCATAATATCGCCGCCTAGGCATGGAGCCGTGTACCACACAGCCGGTTGTACGGCTTGCAGCGTACAACGAGTGTCATTTTGATAAATTGAGTGAAATTTTCAACTATAGCTACTTATTGAGCATTAATGCACATTCAATGAGCATGTGATCTATTCTCTTGAGTATTGAGAGTGTAATAATGAACATCGTGATATCAATTTCATATCTTATAATTCACTTTTTTTAATGTCTACAATGAATCTGTATCAATCCAATATGTGAAATTGTTGTATTTATATTTTTGAAATATGCATGAATATGACATTTTAAAATGGGTATTACACTAATATCAAATGAGTATACATAAATTACTAAATGAGCAATGAAAAAATCAAAAAACACATTTAAATGTCTACTGTGCTCAAAATTTCTATTGTGTATGCTCATATTTGATAACTTTTTTTTTTTTATTTTTTTTTGATAACTACGTATAACTTTAGGTTTCTCCTAAGTTGCAAACAAACAAGTTACCAAACTCATCAAACATAAATAGGAAAAAATGAAAAGAGTTCAAAAAAAGAAAGAGTGCAGCCCTAAACATCCGCCAGAGCCGCGACACCTGAGTGCAAGCTAGAGTCTGAGTGCTGCATTTTGGCCTGACAAATGACGATTGTGAGTGGCCAGTTTTTCGTCCGTCAACGACGGCGAGCGACGAGTAGCCAACGCACAACGAAGCGAACGATCGAACGAGCAGTCAACGAACAACGATGGAAGCTAGTGATATACGATCTTCGAACAAAAACCTCGATTGTACCGTTCTTTTAATTTTAAACTAAACTTTAAATTATAGCATACATAAATATAATAACTCAATATTTAATAAGTATTATACGCATATCTCAAAATATTGATTTTCTAGCACTAGAAAATCAAAGACTAACAATTATATCAAGAGAATATAAAAAAATTATGATACTCCTCCGATTCTTAATTAAGTTCCTGATTTGACTTCACACATACAGAGTATTAAGAAAACAAATGAATTTATTGAGGGGTAAATTTTATTGTGTGGTACACTATTGTGACACTGTTTAGCACTGTTTTGCACTGTTTTGGCACTGTTTTGGTGTAGACTTGTTTGCCAAATAATGAAGTAGTAACCTGCTTGAGACATCCGAAAAAGGAAAGTGAGAACTTAATTAAGAACCAGAAGGAGTATGAGGATAAATGTTTGACATTTAACAAATAAAATTTCATATTTTAATTAGTTCGGTTTATTCAATTCAGTTCACTACAAAAGAAAATGAGTTTGACATAGATTTTTGTTAGAGATTTGTCAAAATTCATTAAGGAATTGGCAGGATCATGTCAAATCTATGAAAAAAAGCATTTTGGCACAACTTATTTGACACGAAATCATCTATTAATACATTCCAAATCCGTGTTAATCTCGTTTTTTTTTTTGTAGTGGTTCCATATTAAAGGAACACAAGCCAAATTGACCTAAACAATTACTCCTTCTGGTTCTTAATTAAGTTTCTAGTTTGACTTCACACATATTAAGAAATAAATTTGACTTTACTATGTAGTGCACTTTTTCAACACTGTTTGGCACTGTTTGAACACTGTTTGGTACTGTTTTGGTGTAAATCATTTGCCAAACAAGGAAAGATTTGAAGTAGGAACTTTAATATAGATCATCCCAAAAAGGAAAATAGGAACTTGATTATGGGACGAAGGGAGTATGTTGGATTCAGATTTTACATTTGCTTTCCGTTTTTTTTGCAATTTAATATACTCCATAGTTTAGTTGCTGTAATTTTATTCGGTTTGCCGTACCTAGTAGCAATAGGCATTTTACAAATGGATGCACTATATTACTTGAAGTCCGTAATTAACATCTCTACCCTAGCAGACTGTAGAACTCTCTGGCAGGCCACTTCTCTCTCCCGCTTCCCGGCCTAGCTTTTCCCTTCTCTCTAATCTTTCAATTATTGAGGTATATCATTCATTCATACGCTACTTGCTATTGATCTTCACTCTTCTCTAGCTACTTCAATTAGCTTACACCCTTTACATGAAATCATGATGTGGAACTTGCTTTTTATGCTCTTACCATTGCTTTATATTTAGATCTGACCGTAATAGAAGAAACCCAACTATATATACACATCTTATTTTAGTTTTTCCACAAGTCTTGGCCTATTCCGGCCGATTTAGTATATCAGTTCTAAAACTGCATTTTTTTATTTATATCAAGCAGGTTTGATTGAACATTCTTTTTTCTTTTTTTTTTTGAAAATAACATTCTTTTTTCTTTAATCCTAAAAATGTTGGTAGCCTAAGTGATACCAATGACAACATTCTTTTTTCTTTAATTTAAACTCGTTTTGTTTTGTTTTTAGGAGTATATATATACATTCATTAAAAAAAGGGAAAATGGAAACTAATAATCCAACCTTTTAGCGGTATTCTTTCAATAATCCCACCTTTTGATTATTGATGAATAATCCAACCTTTGCACCTCATCTTCATTCATTGGTCCCTGGTCGATTAATGACCTACTATTCCACGTTATTTTCTTATCTTTCCAAAATATTATCTTTGTGAAAGATGAGATTTATGGTATAATGATTTGCAAAGATAAGAAAATAGCTTGGAATAGCAGGTCATCAACCGGTCAGGGACCAGTGAATGAAGATGAGGTGCAAAGGTTGGATTATTCATGAATAATCAAAAGGTGGGATTATTGAAAGAAGACCGCTAAAATGTTGGATTATTAGTTTCCATTTTCCCTTAAAAAAAAGGAGTATATATATATACATATGAGGTCGTTTGGCAACACTTTTCGGTAAAAGTAAGGTTGAAGTTACTTTTCTGGCTGTATTGGCTGAAGTTACTGTAGATAATCATTTTAGCTATTTTTACATATAATTTTTCCTTTATTTTATTAATAAAATATATTTTCAGATTTTTTCCTTAAATCAGTAGAATCAGCCACTTCAGTCAGAATTTCATAAATTTCAGCAGAATCAACCAAAACAGCTGATTTTAGTGATACCAAACGGGCTCTATATATGCTCCCCTAGCTAGATACATGTTTTACTCCGTTAATCTTAATCTTATCTACTCCATTAGATATATCCTACATATGCACTAAACATGGTCTATATATATTTAAATTCGTATAATATTTGAAGTCCAGATATTTAGAAACAACTTTAGTCCATTTCGTGACTTTGTTTTTCGGCTTTACTTTATAACACATAACTATAAAGGTGGGTTCGGTACAAACGGGTTCGGTTTTCACCTAAAACCAAATGCCGAACCAAAGTAAAAAGTTCAGTTCAGTTCGGTTCGGTTTTATGTTCAAATTAAAAATTTGGAACCACGGTTTGTTTGGTTCGGTTTATTTCGCTTCCGTTTCGGTTTTTTCGGTTTTTACCAAAGTATTTTTGTTGATTAGAAAAATAGTAATTGGAAAACTAAAACGAAAAAAAAATTAACTACACCAAACTATTAGTAATAGTAATACAATACAATACAATACAAAAACATACATAATTAAAAAAGAGATAAGAAACAAATGCACTTTCAAGCAATGAATTAGAGAGTATGTGTATACCGATTTAAACATTTTCTAAATTAATAAAACACATGAGTTTATTTGTGAATTATATACAGAATATTCACAAGTTAAAATTTTATTAGTAAATAACTTAATCTACTTTTTTAGCCAAATATATTTATGCTCTAAAGTTTCACATTTTCTGTTATGTTGTTTAAAATATACGGAGTAGCTTATATTAATACATATTTGTTCAATATAAAAAATTATGTGATAACCAACATACATAACATATAATATATTAACAAAGTATCATTGTCATGCAACAACAAACAAAATGTAAATCACTATTTAAAATAATAACATATTAGTATTATAGTAATAGACTTATGTTTATGTACAGGTGTTTCACTTAATTAAGCAATAAATATTAAATGCCAATATCTTGCAAATCATAAGAAATCTAGTATCAAACATTAATTTCTAGAATTAAGAATTAAGAACTAAACAAAATATTATACTTAATGATTAATAAATAAAATAGCAACTTTTAAAAAGTTCGGTTTATTCGGTTCGGTTTTGAGAGGTGAAAACTAAAACTGAAACCAAACAACTACGGTTCAGTTCGGTTTTTTGAGTTCGGTCTCGGTTTTCTTGCGGTTCGGTTGTTTTGGTTGCGGTTCGGGTTTTTTCGATTCGGTTTTCAGTTTCTCCGACCCACCCTATAACTATTGATATTTTTCGTTGGATGTGTAATAATCAAAATAAGTAAGATTGAAGTTACATTTTCGGTTGCATTGGCTGAAGTTGATTTAGAACTATTGACATTTTATCTATTCTTCATATAATTTTTTCTTTATTTTATTATTAAAAAATATTTTAAATATAATTATCCCATAAATCAGCAAAATCAACCAATTAAGCTACTTAAGTCACAAAAAAAAGTCAAAAAATCATAAATTGAAGTAGAATGAGTCGATTCAGACAACTTCAATGTTACCACACGAGTTTTAAGTCTAAATATGAATTACTATGGTTAATAATTGATGTTTCCTTTGTAGATCTTTATGAGCCATTGATTGATTTTTAATTAATTACTCCTCCATTCCTCCATTCCATCCAACTAAGAGTTCACATTCATTTTAATTTCGGAAGTAATTCACATTTTTAAATACTCCGTAACAATTTAATTATCAAACATTAAAAATTATACAGTTATAACATCATATGTTTTAATTCACGAACAGTTTTATGTTACTCCGTATATAATATCAAAAGTTTAAGCCGACACCGAAATAGTATAATCGGAAGTTTATTACTCCGTAGTAGTTCTTGTCTTTCAACTCACACTAGTTTGCTCAATTTAATTCAAAACTTTTGAGGAGTCCGGTATGACTTCATAAGGTATCATGGCAATATAATATCATTACGATCACTCATTTTCTTTAGAGGGAAGCCCCTAATATAATGAGTGACGGTAAGGATGTTATGACACCCTTATATAGAGTCATATAGAGAAGAGTTCTATAAAACTACTCTAATTTTTTAATTTTTTTTATATGATTTCATATCATGGCAACATGCTATCGAGAAGTTTTATGGAGACTTATATGACTCCTTTATGAACTAATGTGAGTATTGTGGCGTATTAATAACCACTTAATTAATTTTTGAGTAGGAGACTCCTTTAAAAAATGAGTAAGTATTAATATGATACAATACCCAGATGACTCCATATGGGTCGTCTTAAATTATTAATATGACATCACCAAAATCACTCATTTTAATTTCTTTGGAAGGGAGCCTACTAAAACTATGAGTGATTGTAAGGTGATACCATATATATATGACTCGGCTCTATAACGCTACTCCAATTAAATTAGTGACTTACCATTATGTAATCTATTTTTGTTTAAATTTAATGACCATCATTAAAAAATTCATGTGGTTTGCAGGCTGCTATGGGTGGGGAGAGTTCAACAGGTGTTGTCCGTTCGACTGGCTTGGTCATACATTTTCAATGTCAAAGCCAGAAACTAGGTTTTCATATTAATCCTATTAATTAAATTAAAAGGTGAGCGAGGGAAATTTTCTGGGTGGATGCCAATTATCACCTAAGCACCTAGCATGCTTGTTCACTAGAAAATTAAGTTTTTTCGGTTTCTTTAGCAAAAATAGTCCACAAATATGTTGAATATACTCCCTCCGTCCCGAAAAGGTTGGCCAAAATTCCTTTTTTGGATGTCCCAAAAAGATTTGTCGTTTCCATTTAAAGTAAGAAATATGTGGCTAAAGTTAATTCTCTCTCTGCTGCACAAATTTCAACCACACAGTTTTTACTTTATTAATCCATGTGAAAGTCAACTTTGGTCAATCTTTTCGGGACGGAGGGAGTATAATATATTGTCACGGAGCTGAGGCGGGGTAAGAAAATCTGACATTAAGAAGTCAAAGTTGAAAACAACGACATACTTTCTGGTCATCATACAGTGGGTTGGCCGTTGGGGGTCAGATATACGCAATTTTACATCTGCACTTAAGCATACTCCCTCCGTCCCGTAGTTAAGTTCCTACTTTCCTTTTTGGGATGGTCCATATTAAAGTTCCTACTTCAAACCTTTCCTTATTTGGCAAATAATTTAAACCAAAAGAGTGTCAAACAGTGTCAAACAGTGTTCAAACAGTGCCAAACAGTGTTCAAACAGTGCACTCCACAGTAAAGTCAAATTTATTTCTTAACGTGTGTGAAGTTAAACTAGGAACTTAATTAAGAACCGAAGGGACTACAAAGACTGTTTCAGGATGACCTATAGTGAAAATCGCGTCAAAAATTGCATTGAATGATGACTGCTTCATAAGGAAAAATGCACAAACAGTTTATTGAGTCATTTTACTTTATTTCATCACATATTCCAAAGGCAAAAAAATAGTGAGTCTTTGGCTCCATTGCAAATGATAAAATAAACATCAACATAATTTCTATAGATTTAAACTATGTATACACACACACACACACACACACACATATATATATATATATATATGGGAGTGCTCTCCTAAGGTAGGCATAAAACTTACAAGTTTTAGGTCTCATTTTAAGTTCTTCCGGGTCAAAATTTTTGATGATATTCTCCATGAAGTGTAGGTTATGTCCATCAAATTCAACCGGAAAGTTAGTTTACTAAATTATTGGGGAAAAAAACTGCATGTTATATTTATAAAAAACTGCCCAATTTTAAAAAACTTATTTAAGTGACTTCTGGATTAAATTTTAATCTGAAATTTGGTATGTATAATATACACTTTATGGAGAACATTCTCACAAAATTTCATCAAAATATTCATCCCGTAGGCCCCTCAACTGAAAGAGGCCTAAAAATTCAAACTCTTGACCTACCTTACATGAATGTTTCTTTCTCTCTCTCTCTCTCTCTCTCTCTCTCTCTCTCTCTCTCTCTATGTACATATATGGATGTACGGGGGGATCTGTACGGAGCTTCCTGTACATCCATATATACAGGAACAGCCCTCTATGTATATGTGTGTGTATATATATATACATATATATATATATATGTATATATGTATATATGTATATATGTATATATGTATATATATACATATGTATATATATACATATGTATATATATATATATATATATATATATACACACATATATATAGAGTAGTCTTCATGTTAGGTCGGCCTGACGGGATGCTCCGTTCGGCCGAGGGCATTTCGGGCACTTCCCGGTGGAATTTTTTGAGAATGTTCTTCATGAAGTCTAGTTTATCCATACCAAATTTCACCTAAAAATTCAATCGGGAAGGCATTCAAATAATTTCTTGAAGTTAACTGGACAGTTCATACATATAAATTGCCCAGTTAACTTCAAGAAATTATTTGAGTGCCTTCCCGATTAAATTTTTAGCTGAAATTTGGTATGGATAAACTAGACTTCATGAAACACATGCTCAAAACAATTCATCAAAAAATTCCACCGGGAAGTGCCTGAAATGCCCTCGGACGGACGGCGGTTCCCGTCAGGCCGACTGGACATGAAAAGTCCTCTCTCTCTCTCTCTCTCTCTCTCTCTCTATATATATATATATATATATATATATATATAGAGAGAGAGAGAGAGAGAGAGGACAGATCGTATCAGGCCGCTCTGACGGGAACCGCCGTCAGGCCGAGGCCATTTGGGGACCTTTCCGGTCGAATTTTTTGATGAAATTTTTTGAGCATGTTCCTCATCAAGTCTAGTTTATCCATACCAAATTTCAGCTAAAAATTCAATCAGGAAGGCAGTCAAAAAAATTTCCTACTAAAACTGTGCATTATTTATATATAAACTGCGCAGTTTTAGTAGGGATTTTTTTTACTGCCTTCCGGATTGAATGTTTAGCTGAAATTTGGTATAGATAAACTAGACTTGATGAGGAACATGCTCAAAAACTTTCATAAAAAAATTCCACCGGGAAGGACCTCTGATGGCCTCGGCCTAACGGCGGTTTCCATCAGGCCGGCCTGACAGGATCGGGACTCTCTCTATATATATATATAGAGAGAGAGAGAGGACTTTTCATGTCCAGTCGGCCTAACAGGAACCGCCGTCCGGACGAGGGGATTTCGGGCACTTTCCGGTGGAATTTTTTGATGAACTTTTTTGAGAATGTTTTTCATGAAGTCTAGTTTATCCATACCAAATTTAATCTAAAAATTCAATCGGGAAGACACTCAAACAATTTCTTGAAGTTAACTGGGCAGTTCATACATATAAACTGCCCAGTTAACTTCAAGAAATTATTTGAGTGCCTTCCCGATTGAATGTTTAGCTGAAATTTGGTATGGATAAACTAGACTTCATGAAGAACATGCTCAAAAAAATTCATCAAAAAATTCCATCGAGAAGTGCCCGAAATTCCCTCGGCCGGACGGCGGTTCCCGTCAGGTCGGCTGGACAAGAAGACTACTATATATATATATACACACACACACACACACACACACACACACACACACACACATATATATATATATATATATATATATATATCTACATAGGGAGCGGTTCCGGTAAGAACAGATCTTAGGATAAAAATGAGAACAAATATGGACCGTTGTATTGTATTAGGTAGAACCAAATTGTGCATTTGGTAAAACTGAAATGTGCATTAAATGATATTGAAATGTGCAAAATAAAAATTTAAATTCAAGTGTGCATTAGATGAAACTGATATGTGCGGGAAAAAAGTACAAAAATAACATCACATCGTACTTTTTATTCTGCACATTTTAGTTTCACCTAGTGCACATTTTTCAATTTCACGTAATGCACAATTCAACTGCACATAATGCCAATCTATCGTACTCTTTGTGATGCACATTTCAATTTCACCTAATGCACATTACAGTTTCATCTGATGCACACTGAATTTCACTTGAAGCAAATCTAACGGTTCAGATTCGTTCTCATTTCTCTCATAAGATCGTGTTCTTATTTGAACCAAAACCTACATATACATATATATATATATAGAAAAGATCGGGTCCATCCGGAGATACGGGAGGCGTCGTCCGGCCAATGCCATCAGAAGCCCTTCCTGGTGGAATTTTTTTATTAAATTTTTTGAGCATGTTCCTCGTCAAGTCTAGTTTATTCATATCAAATTTCAGCTAAAAATTCAACCGAGAAGGCACTCAAATAATTTTTGGAAGATAACTGTGTTTTATATGTATATAAACTGCGCAATTAACTTCTAAAAATCATTTGATTGCCTTCCCGATTGACTTTTTAGCTGACATTTGGTATGAATAAACTAGAATTCATAAAGAACATGCTCAAAAAAGTTCAGCAAAAAATTCCACCGGGAAGAGCCCCAAATGGCGACGGCCGGACGGCGTGTCCTATCCCTCCGGCTGGACAGGATGGGACCTCTATATATATATATATATGTATGTATGTATATATTACTCCGTATATTATTCAGCCCCCCTCTCTCTACACCTATCTCTAATACGAACTACGGAGTAGTTTTTTTGGTTATGGATGGTCTATATATACGATAGTATGTATTAAGTACTCATGACCAGGGAAGCAACTAAGAGCTAGGGCTGGGAGGCAGTGACCCGGGAAGCTAGATTTTTAAAGAAAATTTACCCAAAATAGGACTAAAAAGGTTTGGAAATTCCAAAATAGGACTAACATGTGTTTATCTGGGACTATGACTTTGAGATTATAATCTAAATTACCAACATGATACGGTAGTAGCTCAAATTTTATACTACCTCGGTCCTGGTAGACTTTGCCAAGTGTAAAGTAGGTGAGAAATAAGAATAATAAAAACTGTGTAGTTGAGATTTATGCAGAGGAGAGAGAAATGTGCAGAACTATAAATTAGTTGTTTTAATAAGAAAATATCAAAGTTTCTAGAACAACCAAAAGAGGAAAATTGGCAAAGTCCAATTGGACGGCAGTTCAAATGGCAGATAGTCCGATGGCAGTTCATGTCATGCTGGATTGATAGGAACGGTCCTCCAAAAAAGAATTACACATTAGAAAATGACCCTTTTTATAGGAAGGTAGTTGTATTGTTTATTTAACTAATACATGTGTGCTACGCCATATTCAGTTTATGCCATTTTTTCTTTCATTAGCCTTAGGTTTGATCTTTATTGTATGAACATTATTTTCATCATGTTCTAACATAAAATGAAATTCATAATTTATTTACTATGGTAACAGTAATGTCTGCTGCATCTGGTGAATCTGTGAGTGGACCAAGATTTGAAATAAGTGACCGTGGGAAAGAAATAATCGTGCAATTGTTAGAAGATAGAAGGAGACTTGAAGAGTTAAAAACTCATATAAATCAACTTCGGATGGAATTTGATGGGGGAGTTGAACAAAAGACCGCTATCTACCAAGCGGAAAGAGAACGTCATAAGTTAACAGACAAAGAGGGAAAAAAGGAGGACAAACTAGCGAATGAATTTGACTTGTCGAATGAGATTATACAAGATAACGATGTTTTACGATCTTTCGTACCTGAGTACTTTCCGCAGTAGTCAGTGGGGGACATAGGGGGCTTGGTGGGAGGTGCCCCATGCTTCCCATACTTATGATATAATTAGTACCCCTATCTGAATAAAAAGATATAACAGTTGGATAAGAGAATAATTCTGTCAAAGAGCATATGAAAATTGTTGTGAGTTATGTAAACGATCACGAAATTGCGATGGAGAAATTCATTGCAGTTAGATATGTTGTTGACAATGTCAGTGCACTTTCTTTGAAAGGTTTCATTGATCGTTTTTAATAAATTAATATGAACTAGATTTTTCACCCGTGCTTCGCACGGGATGCAATTAGTAAGCAAAAATTGATTTGAGAACATATAGAAGAAGTGTTGTATAACGATAGAACAATGCATACACTATTTTTAACAAAAGCACATCAAGATTAAAAAATTACAAATTACTCGTGCGTTGCACGGGATGTCGAGATGTGGTTCATAATTTTATTTTCTATTAAATATTAGTTATGTTCTTAAGTAATTGCGTTATGTTAAATTTTACATTATTCATATGCTCTACTTTGATTATAATTTATTTTACTAATGTATTAGCAATTTTTGAAAATATTATTAAATTCTTCTCAATCCAAATTTTGAAAATATTATATGACTTTAAAATTTATTTCCCGTACGAAGCTCGATCAATGCGGTCCATTTCAGCCCATCTGGCATATCCTTGCCCATGCAACCCGTTTCAGCCCATTTGGCCCTTTCAGCCCATTAGGGATCCCTAGGGGTGGACCCGGGCCGGGCCGGTTCCGGTTCAGGCCTAGGCCCGGCCGGGCCTTTTTTTGGGAATGGGGAACCGGAACCGGCCCGGGTAGGTGGCGGTTCCGGGTTTTTTTTTTTCTTTTTTCGGTTTTTGATTTCTTATTTATTTCATCCCCCACCACCCCTATCCTCCCCAACCCCCAAACCCCTTGGAAACACCCAGCCCAGCCCAACTAAACCCAACCCAAACCCAAAAAAAACCAAAAACTAAAAATAAAAAGGCCCAAACCGGGTCCGGCTGGGCCGGTTCGCGTTTTACATGACCCGGGCCCGGAACCGCATCACCCCTCGGGCCTAGGCCCGAACCGGAACCGGAACCGACACCTGTTTCCCGGGCCGGGCCGGTTCTAAAGAGTAGCGTTAGCCCGAACCGAGTCCATCCCTAGGGATCCCTCTTCTTCTATAAGACCACCTTCTCTCTAAAATAGATAAAACTCCAATAATGAGAGCTTTTGTACGCCGTAAATGGTGAGGAGAGATTAATAAATAAATAAAAATGGTTTGGAGATTAATAAAAAAAGAATGGTTTGGACATTAGGAGAAAAACCAAATGTTAGCCTACTTTTCAATTTAAAAAAACCGAAACCAGAAATGGTGGCTGCAGTCCTACTTTAGAATAACCGGAAGTCTGAAACCCTTCCAAGTTCCAACCAATTCCGAGTACACAAAAGGATGATTGAAATACAAAATTTCAAAATTGGTCTAGTTCCTCATTTAACATGAGTATGTAGTTTTCTGTCTCAGGTTGGTTTGATTAGAATTTAGTTTTGCAAAAGGATGATTGAAATACAGTGTTTATCATATTCTTCATTAAAGTATTATTTTAAAAAACAAAAGTGAAATGCTTTTTAATGGTATGCTACACAAATACATTATTGGTTCAGTACTTCGGTTGACCAAAAATATGCTAATACCTGTTCAGAATTGAATTTCATCATTTAATCCCCTTCATTACAAACACACACTAATGGAGAGTAGTAGAAGTATGTGAATCCTCTCATTGTATTTCTACTAAACTATAAAACATCAAAGCCACCCAAAAAATGCCAAGTCATTTTCTATTCTTGCAAATCCCATCCAAAACATCACGACCTTCAATGCATCACTGAAAATGCCTCCACCTGTATGCTTCTGTAAACAGCAAGTAAGTAGTATCACGCCATTGACCCTCTATTACGTGATTGTTCAACTGCCTACCTGATATGGATAATGTTTGGTCAAGATGAACGTAATAATGTCTATATACTATATTGTACTCAGTATGAGCTATCAATGTTTTTAAAACTCTATAATTTGGGTTACTTTACTGATACCATAATGAAACGCTCATGTGTCATTAAGAAAAAGAAAATTTAACATGGTTAATCACCCTCATGTATTAGTTAGCAACTTGTGGCATTATATAAGTAAGACTATTGATTGAGAGATTTATAGAGATCGAGGCAACTACATATTGAGAGATTCTTGATAAAAATCGAAGGTTTAGGGGTAGCAGTGTGTAGCACTGCTACCGTAGCAGCATTGCTTACCAGAATTACTTTTGTAATTGGAGCAGCCATTTGATTCATGAGATGTCAAATTGCAAATGATGGAAGATAAAATGATATCCCAGAAGCAGTGCATATTAGTAAAACCTAAAAAGGCACCTGAATCTAAGATCAATAATCAAGGAAACTCAAATTAGTTGTTCTAGAAAGTAACATTCACCACATTCCGTGATGCGAAAAATTCCAATCAATTTAACAATTACAAAAAACAAATCAATTACGAAAAGCAACAAAATCAATTAATAAAAGAAAAGATAATTCATTTGCTTGATGAAGAAAAAGAAGACTGCTGAACCATAAAAAGAAAAAGAATATAACTCACCACTTGCAATGATTCAATCTGGTAGTTCATAGTTACAATCTGAAAAGTGATAGAAGGAAATAAGAAGATAGCACTTTTGACTTGTGAAGGTTAGTTTCAGAAGAGTACATGTAATCCATTCTCATTATCATTACCCCAATGCCGCAAAGGCTCCCACCTACAGTGGGGTAAGGGTGGGGTAAGGGTGGGTCGGATGTACGCAGTCTTACCCTGTACTTGAGCACAAAGAGATTGTTTCCGGACGACCCATAGTTAAAATCACGTCGAAAATTGCACGGACCGACTGCTGCTTCATAAAAAAGAAGCGCAGACAGTTTAGTGAGCCAATATGCTCTATTCCATCATGGGGAAAGAAAAAATCAAGAGTCAAATGCAAGAATCCTGATACAACAAATGTGTGGGTACGAAAGTTAATCGTGCCTTACTCTAATACGGATAATGGCACTCGATTTATATATTTGAGGCCCTGCCATCATTATTGATGACTTGGGCAGTCTATTGATTCTTCATTAGTTGGTAAAAAGCTTTCTAAAAATGGAAGATTTTTTAATTGCTTAAATCTGGATTTCGCTTAGAAAATAATACTCCCTCCGTCCCATTTATATTGTCCCGTTTTACCTTTTTGGGAAGTCCCACTTAAATTGTCTCATACCATATTTGGCAAAGTTTGTGTGGCTCTAAATCATTCTTACTTTATCAATTAATATCAACCACACAAACTCACTTTTCTTAATAACCGTGCCACCCTCTTCCGGGACAATATAAATAGGACGGAGGTAGTAATAATAAACGAAATAGTGTATTGTATATTTGAGGCCTGACATTATTATAGATGACTTGGACAGTCTGCTGATTCTTCAAATTGATGAATATGTACTTATTGTAATAGAAATAATTGTTAAATGGAGATCAAAGGGAACTCATTTACTTCATGATGAAAAGGAAGATTGCTGAACCATAAAAGGAATATAACTCACTACCTTCAATCCTGTAGTTTATAGTTACAATCTCAAAAGTGATAGAAGGAAATAAAAAGATAGCACCTTTGAATTGTGAAGGTTAGTTTTAGCACAGTATACACGCAAGAATCTTGATACAATAAATATAACCTGAATATAATTTGTTAGAACGAACGAAAGTCAATACCATCTTTCCAATTTTAGTGAGAATGACCACTCACTACTATGCATTGAGGCTCCTGAGGTAAGCACCATTGTGATATCCTTTCATAAACCAACAGTTGGTGTTTGATACACATGCCCTAAAAAACATAACAAATATATTCCTATCGTTATAATAAAAGAAAATCCACTTTTCATGACCAAACACAAAAATGATAAAAAAAAATGACCAAACACAAAAAGATAGTCTGTCATGGAATTTTCTGGAAAAGTATTAGTGTTTGTACTTCATATAAAGTTATATAATCTATACAGACACAAAAGCTGAAGAGCAGTAGGTATTCACATCTAGTCACTAACACTATTGACACATACATCTTGTGTGTTCTGTACGGTTTTAATCAATCTGTGTAATTGTCTAAATTCCTATTACTTACTGATAAGGGAATTATCTAGCTTAAGATAAGAAAATAATTCCAAATACTCAAGGTATTTACGCCGAAAAAAATTGATGTTGTTAAACATGTTTTCACGAATAGCTAAATATCCTCCGTTCTTGAATTCTTGCAACAGTTTGACTTTCACGTTTGCCAATGCACAACTTTGACTATAATTATACTCCCTCCGTCCCATTTATATTGTCCCGTTTTACCTTTTCGGGAAGTGCCACTTAAATTGTCTCATACCATATTTGGCAAAGTTTGTGCGGCTCTAAATCATTCTTACTTTATTTTTACTTTATCAATTCATATCAACCACACAAACTCACTTTTCTTAATAACTGTACCACCCTCTTCCGTCCCAATATAAATGGGACGGAGGTAGTATTTAATTTTGTATTAGTAAACATTATAGAAAGTTGATATTTTGGAAATTTACATTGATAGGAATTCAATAACATTTCATACGTAATAATTTGTTTATAGATATCAGTAGAAAATTGTGGTCAAAGTAAGGTCTGTGAATAGTGCAAAATTCACAATGTTGCAAGAATTAAAGAACGGAGGAAGTAGTATATAAATCCTTCTATGAGTTCCACCTGAAGAGATTACATGAAATTTTAGTTCAATCGAAAGGAACTTATTATGAAAATTGCATACTTTAACTTGCACAACTAAAATTTCTAAAATAAATAAATAAATGGAAGTTCACTTTATCTCTCAACCAATTGTATTGATAATGTTTTCAATAATAAGTTTAAGGGTATTTGAAGTAAATGAAAAATTGCGATGAAGATTGGATAAAAAGATATGTGAAATAAAGAAAAAAAAAACATATCATAAACGAAAAAAGAACAGAGATCCTAATCTTACATTCTTACCTATAAAGCCGCACCCTAAGTGGCCATAGAAAAAACGAAAAAAAAAGCTAAATTTTATTTATGGCAAGAAACTGGGATGCCACAGATCTGGGACCATTCCATAAAAAAACATGAGTCATAGTCTGTAGATCTCAGGTAGAAATTATGTAGGAGGATTTGAGAATCTGGTGCGATCTGAGATAGGGCCAATATGGTGTAGCTGTCTAAGAGG